GACTTAGTTAAGTGCTCCTCTTTCCACTTTCTATATAGAGCTGTTGCCACAGTAGTTTTTCTAGCTGCACTTTTTAAAAAAAATTAGACTTGCTGTGCTGTAGGTGTCACATTCTTGACCTGACTGAGTGTTAGGGCAGAATTTGTGGCCAAGGGATTGAGCTATAAATCCATATATATTTGGGTTGACTCTTGATTTTAGTGTGGATTCATTAAGTGGCTTTAAGCAATCCAGTTTGTCAGCTTCAGTCTCCTCATCTGTAATCTGGTTATTCATTTGTCTGATTGTTAAGCGCAACTAAATGCTTAAATACACCAGATAAATTTTGTTAAGGATTCTTAATTCTTATAGATCTAGGTGAGTAATGGCTTTTCATTCCTGGAAAATCTTTTTGTGGACAGGCTTTGTGGAAGCCTATCCATAAAAACTCAACCACCTCATATTCTATAGTTCAGCCATCTCCAATTCAGTATCTCACACTGAGAACTACATCCTCCCGCCAGTATCTTTAATTCTCATTCCAACTGTGGATGATTAGCATTACAGTCTAAGTAACTGAACTGTAACATCAGATTGGGAAGGGGTGTGCTACCCTATCCATCTGCTTGGAGTGTTTTGATCCATTCTGCCAAATAGTCGTTCTTTCAGCATTAAAGTAGGATAATCAGCGGGGAAGTGAAACAAATTGATTTATTTGCTCAAATAACTGAGCAAATTACTTCAAGAAAACTTGTGAAAATCCTAACAATACAAGTGGCGATTTTGCAACCATGCAGTCCCAAGCATGAAGGTTTTACTGTAATGATAAGTCTTTGGTTAATACAATAAATTTATAATTTTTTAAAAAGTATGCTTATTTTGGAAAAGAGAATATGAGGAGAAAATGTGAAAATAATAATTGTGCACCCAGACACACACTATTCCAGATAAAATGAGTTAAGTTGATCTGATAGAGCAGGTTTATTTTTTTCTTGAACAGTTTTGGTTTTCAACAATCTTGCAGGAAACGGTTCATGCAAAAAAGCATGATCTAAAGGAGAACATATTTGGCAATTTAATTAGACATCATTAGGGCAACTGAGACTAAAAGCATAGCTTCATTTTTATGGAAATCCGATTTTTAAAAAAAAACAATCTCTAAGCAGAACATAACATGTTTTGCCCATTCATATGATTATCTCCTAATTTGCATCTTGATCCAATTTTTAATAAATACATATTAACTAAGCCAATCAGTTCCAGCTAAAAATTAACATAAATAAAATCTTAATATGTGAAAACATTAGAAAATAGAAACATTGACTTGATCTATTCAGCTTTCTAAACCTGACAAGTTGTGAGGAAATCAGAAGGACAACAGAATTTTGCTAGGGAGACAAGGAAACCTTATAAGAATGCTTTGTTCCAGCAGAGTATGAGGAGATCATAGATACAAAAGCAGTGAATGCATAAGTAAAGTAAATCCTGAATGGAAGTCCTGAACAAAATAAAGCAAAAGAATAACTTTAACTTCAAGATATAATATTGACAGGAAATATCTCTCAGGAAGGCAACTAAACAGGAAATATTAACATTCAATAGGGGAAAATAAATACAGAATAAAAGATCATATTTCTTCGTCTGTTAGAAGCCCCATGTTTGTCAGATCTAACAATAAGCATTCCCCAGTTTGGGCATCTGTAGGTTCCTGCTACTTCTATCAAAATGAAATCGAATGATACAAGCTGTACCCCCTTTTGGACCTTTGTGCAATTTCAAAATGCATTGCAAAAGGGCAGGGCTTGCATTGTGATGGTATGATGCTCTTTTGTCAGACTGACCCCCTTGACTCTCCCACAGAAATCCATATTACACCTGCTAGCACTCAACACCTTTCCTGAGATTTAGATCTATACCAAAGCTCAAGAGACAACACTATTGAGCCTGACTTTGTCAGTAGATTAAAAAAAAATCTAATTATGATAAATGTCTTGGGGTAAGGGGAGAAGGGGGGAATTCTAATCGTTTTTTTTAAATGTTGTGCTTTACCAAATCATGCTATGTAAAAAATATAAGAGATGTCATTTATACAGAAAAACACAGAAGAAAAAGTTGCACATCATCTATTCATCTTCATTTCAAAAATCATCCACACTAGAGCAGACATGTCAAACTCATGACGCCCTGTGACGTATCGGAGCTTTTTCCCCATTGCTGGTAGAAGAAGCAGTTCATGGAGGACAAAAACATTCAACAGCAGAGAGCGGTTTCATTTAGAATGGTCTTAAATGACAGTTTGGAGCAAATTTGGTAAATGGAATAAATCTTGCAAGTCCTGTCCAGAATAATGGGAAGCAAACCTTTCTTGGTGTCCTGCTCCCCTAAGGAAAACATTAATATAGTTATAGTTTGGAAATGCATAATAGTCTATCAGTTGTCCACACCTGATGAAAATCCAGTGGGACTAGTGAGAGGTTGAATAATAACAACAACAAAACAACAACAACAACAACAACAACAACAACAACAACAACAACAATAATAATAATAATAATAATAATAATAATAATAATAATAATAAAAAAAAAGTTGGAAGGGACCTTGGAGGTCGTCTAGTCCAGGGCTTCGCAACTTGGGCAACTTTAAGACCTGTGGATTTCAACTCCCAGAATTCCACAGCCAGCATGGCTGGGCTGTGGAATTCTGGGAGTTGAAGTCCACAGGTCTTAAAGTTGCCAAGGTTGGGAAACCGTGGTCTAGTCCAACCCCCTGCTCAGGCAGGAAACCCTGTACCATTTCGGACAAATGGCTGTCCAGTCTCTTCTTAAAAACTTCCAGTGTTGGAGCATTTACCACTTCTGGAGGCAGGTTGTTCCACTGGTTAATTGTTCTAACTGTCAGGAAGTTTCTCCTTAGTTCTAGGTTGCTTCTCTCCTTAATTAGTTTCCATCCATTGCTTCTTGTCCTGCCTTCAGGCGCCTTGGAAAATAACTTGACTCCCTCTTCTTTGTGGCAGCCCCTGAGATATTGGAATACTGCTATCATGTCCCCCCTCGTCCTTCTCTTCATTAAACTAGACATACCCAATTCCAGCAGCCTTTCCTTATATGCCTCCAGCCCCCTAATCATCTTTGTTGCTCTTCTCTGTACTCTTACTAGAGCAGTGGTTCTCAACCTTCCTAATGCCGCAACACTCGACCATGTGGTCGTAAGTCGAGGATGACCTGTATTTCCCTGCAGGCGGGGGCAGGAGGAGGGGCGGGGTTTGCTCGCTCTCATTCTCTTTCACTTTTTATTTTTCTCTCTCTGGCGTGCACGCTCCACCTCCTCTCCTGTGGCTGGAGTACACGCCGGGCAGGGCAAGGGCGCATGTGGGCCGTCGCCTAGCAACCGCCTCGGCCCGGGAGTGCCGCGCATGCGGCAGGCAGGCCCAGGCGCTCCTGGGCAGCCATGGCAAGCGGCAGCGACGGCGCAGGCCGACCATCGGCTGGGCCACCAGCTGGCCCAGCCCAAGGGAGGTAAGCCACCCGCCGGGCCCCACACGCGCCAGCTACCATCCCTGCGCCCGTCGCTGCCCTGCTAGCCTTACCTTGGCCGCCGCCCATTCAGTATGGCAGCAGGCGGGCACAGGCGCCCCTGGGTGGCCCTCCCAGCCCTGGCCCTCTTTTACTTACATTTAGTAGTTGCTCAGCAGGGAGGGGTGGAAACTTCCAGAAAGCTCGCCTTAGCTGCAGACAACTTGCAGCACCGTTTGCCGACTGGGACTTTTGGCGGACTCAGCAGGGCAGAGACAGCCTGGACAATTCCTATTGGCTTTTGAAAGCCAACAGAATTATACTCTACTCAAGAGAATCTATTCTATTGACGTTCGAAAGCCAACAGAATCTATTGGCTTTTGAACGCCAATAGAATAGACTCTCTTGAATAGAGTCTATTCTATTGGCTTTCAAAAGCCAATAGAATAAGAGGGAGTAGCACAGCTCATGAAAAAGGGGAAAAAAACAAAAAAAAAAATCCGGACTGCGTTTCATAAGGATTCTATGAGGAAAAACTCCAGGACTTTGGCGACCCCCGTGAAACGGTCGTTCGACCCCAAATGGGGTCGTGACCCACAGGTTGAGAATCACTGTTCTAGAGTCTCAACATCTTTTTTACATCGTGGTGACCAAAACTGGATGCAGTATTCCAAGTGTGGCCTTACCAAGGCATTGTAAAGTGGTATTAATACTTCACGTGATCTTGATTCTATCCCTCTGTTAATGCAGCCCATCACTGTGTTGGCCTTTTTGGCAGCTGCAGCACACTGCTGGCTCATATTTAAATGATTGTATCTTTCAGTCAGAATGATTAGAACCTGTGAATAGTAAGTGCCCTTTTTTCAACCAGTTTTATTTGCAGTATTGAAGTTAATTTCATTTCTTTCACGGAGATCTACTGTAGATTTTCAGAGGGACAAGTTGGTTGCAACTTTTTCAATGTGATCCCATTACAGATGTGTGTATGTCTACCTCCCAAATTCACAGCAACATGACATTCTGAGCATTCTGGGAATTTAAATTCACACATCTGAGGAGTTTCCAGATTAGGCTGGTAGTATGGCCTAATAGATAGATTCAGCATATTCCAAAATTAGGGAAATCTCTTCCCACAATTGCCTACAAGATAAAACGTGGATGGGAATTCACCAAGAAATTCCAGAACAATAAGCTAGATTGGAAGGTTGACAAACATATCAGAAAAAGACCAGAAATCTATATGGGTTTATCTGTGAAGTGACCATGAGTAAGCTTGATTTGAAGAAAACATTATCTTTTATAGCCAAAAAGAATAGCTTCAGACTTGTAGCTTCAGAAATTTCCTTTTTAAAAAAAAAAACATGGTAGAAATTATATAACTTAAGTGAGCCCAATCATTATTTTCAGTGTTTTAGCACATTCTCATTGGCATTATTTACTTTGAGAAACCTTTCTTTCTGAATTGGAAAATAAGCATTTAATTCAAACGGCATTGCACTTTTTTAGGTCAGGCCACGCTTTTGCTGCCATTGGAGAAATCATCTATATGTTTGGCGGTCGTTCCAATGAAGATGAATATTATACTGATGTGTATGCACTGGACACAGGTACTTTTGATTATATATAATCATTTTGTTCGATTTACGAACTGCAGTTGTAAGTTAGCAAAGTAATGATTCAATGAAGAGATGAAAATAAATATGACAATCCTGGATCATTTATGGATATCTTTTTAGCAGTTTCAGAGCCCCCCCCCCCAAATTCTGCTACTAGGAGTTCAGATGGTTACCTACTATATTTACCAAAACGGAAGACAAGGGCTTCCCACTTATCTGTAAATGTGGCAGTCATCTTTCATTTGCTGAGAATATGGTATTATTATAGAATGCATATATTTCCTTTCAGGAGAAAAGATCTGTCCATTTGTTGTACAAGGAAGGGGAAAACAGCTCAGTGTCCTGTGATTTATTCTCCTGTCTCTACAAAATGTACATGGAGTAAATTGAGCTAAATAGATCTATCCCCCAGCACAGAATTACCCCACGCATATTAATGTGGGAGGGAAAATCATTGACCTCATCGGAATTTACTACAGATGGGATGCCGTTTACACTCATTTTAATGTGGGATGCCTTATAAATAAATAATTTGGCAACCCGACAATTCATTTAGCTGACAAAGACCTGATTTCTTAGCAACCAATCTTCCCTACGGGATGAGGATGGATCATCCTTCTTTTCAGATAAATATGGTATTCAGGAAAATACATTATTCTGAATTCTTTGGCAAATGGAGTACAACAATATCAAAAGAGGATACACAACAAAATGTAAAAAATGATCCATGGAATTTAAGTTTCACTGATTTTGGTGTAATTTAAATTCAACTAACTATGTAATCACAGCATAGTACAGAGCAGGCAGTTTTGTGTGGCTGGGACATATCTAGGATTTTGAGAGCATGTGCTAGGTGTGTTTACAAAATGACCATCAGGTTAGGCATCATCAGTCAAATAAAGTTCTCTACAATTTGATAGATTTGTAGGATCCAAAGGTATTCCTGCAGTCAGCATAATGCTAGAGGCAAATGATTTTCTTTACAGCATTCTAGCTTTTAATTTAATATTGTTATTAGACAAATATTTTCTTAAAATCACATACCGTGTTTCCCGAAAATAAGACTCAGTCTTATATTATTTTGCCTCTAAAAGAGGCCCCAGATCTTATTTTCTGGGGATGTCTTACTCGCTTACCTTAGGGCCGCCACAGCCAGCCCTCCCATGCCCCGACACCTGTTGCACCATTGCCCAAGTTCTTCTGTGGCCGCTTGCAGCTGTATGCCACTCACAGCAAGAGACCGCATAGGTCATCGTACCAATCGCACTGCAGTGGCAGCGGCACAATTGGTGCAACAAGCCTTGCAGCCTCCTGCGAGCAGCATCAGCGGTGCGATTGGCACAATGAGCCACATGGCTCTGTGCCATGAATGGCAGCAGAAGCACAATCAGCAAAATGACCCATGCGGCTTCCTGCCACAAGTGCAATGCGCCACATGGTGTGAGGCTGCAAGTGGTTGCAGAAGAACTCAGGCATCGGGGCGTGGGAGGCCTGCCTGCAGTGGTCCTAAGGTAAGTGGGTGTGAGGCATGAGGGGCAGTTCCACCATCCCCACTCCCGCCCTCACTTGATTTTTACGCATGTGCCTCACCCCAAAGCTAGGGCTTATTTGGAGGGTAGGGCTTATATTAAGTGCACGTGTAAAAATCAAGCTAGGTCTTATTTTCAGGAAAACATGATAGGTTAGAAGATACCAAAAGCAGTGTCTGGTGACACTTGATGCCTGCCTATCCTAGTTTAGTTTGCTGCCTAGAGCTGGATTGCTCCCTGTTTGTTTTCCAATCTATGTGGATGATTCTTGTTGTAAAACAGAGGGGGAACGCTTTCCACACAGCTGGTGTCTTTGACCCCCATTTGGATCAGTGTTGGCTTTATAAGTGTTTCACAAAATAAGAACTCTATCTAACACAAAGCTTACTGCAGGATCCAGTCTGGATTGGTCACTAGAATCAGAGGTTTAGTCCTCCAAGCTTTTAATTGTGCTGGAGCCCATCATCAGGGAACTTCTCTCTGCCAGAATATAGAGAAGTTCCCCAAGGATGGGCTCCAGCATGAATCCAAAAACTCAGAAGACTAAATCTCTGGTCCTAGTGACCAACCCAGATTGGATTCTGCAACATTATCCTGAGACACATATATTTGCCTTCATTCAACAAAACTTACTAGCTGTGGAGCCTGCAAGGATGACAAAAAAGTGAAGATGGCAGATAAGGCCTGCACCTTCTTATGTGTGTACAATGTTGTCACAGCTACAGAAAGGATCGAAATTTAATTGCACTGACACAACTACCATCTTGACTTTTTCATCTCACCCCATCAATCCCCACAGATGCCATTGGTTGCTGAGATTCTAACAAAAAACTGGCAAACTATGACTGACTGCATGTTGCTATGTTGTGTAGGGTATATTCTCTGGTTCAAGGCCTTCGTGCTTAAGCCTCCTGACCCTAAACTGCTTCACTGGCCATATCCAGGAATTTAGGAATATGCTTCCATAGAACTTAACTCTTAAGACAGATATGAAATCTTCACCAGCATTTTGAAATTCTGTTTTGGCAGTGCTTGAGTTTTTAAATATTGCACTACATATATGAGAGATACTATGACTCTTGTCTAAATTTGTCCAAATGTGGTTATGCAGATAGGCTCCCCTAATAATGTTTGAGGCTGTTTGCTGCTTCTCTTGCAATTTTCCACAAATCCTCACCCATACTCTAACACTGCAAGCAATATAGGTTTAAAGTTAAAGATAGTGCAGCATAAGTATTGTGAAGGGGGGGAAGTGGAATCACATCAAAGAATCCAGTCTTTGGGCAGCCTGGTGAATTAATATGCTTTTATAAGAAAAAAAATGGATGTAAATGTCAAAGGACTGGAATGGTGCTATTTTCAGATATTACAGAACAAAAGCAAATGAAAGATGTTTGTGTTATTTTCTATCCTCTCCCCCAAGTATCTTTAATGTGGCAAAAGTGTGAAGTAAAGGGAGAAAAGCCTTTCGGAAGATCACATCATACATTTACAGCACACAGTGATAAGGTAAACAACTGAACATTTTACTCTCCTATTACAAATTAAGGTGCTTTTACTTCCATTGTATTTGAGAGCAGAAAACCTTGACTGCAAAGATTTAGGGCACATATGCACTTTCTGCTTGGCCCATTGCCAGTGCTGAGTGCAGGAATGGATGACATCCTTCTCCTTTCACTCCCTGTCATTGCAGTTGCACCCCCACAACTATGTTTTCCAGCTGTGATTCAGAACTGCTGTTCTCCAACCTGAGCCATCTTCAGTGCTTCAGAATGGATGTTCTCCAGTGCTTTGGTCTATTCTAATAGCAGCCACTGATTGGCTGTAGTGACTTCCATGCTCCCTCCACCCCCTCCCCAGCTGCTGGTCACTACCATGGGCAATCCTTTTGTCCTGGGTTGGGTGAAATATGTTTCCTTTTTTTTTTTTTTTTTTGTTTCCTACCCCTTGCCCAGAGAACTGCAAAGGCCTTCCTCCTCCCTCCCTCCCTCCCTTTCTTCTTCCCTCATCTTTAGGTTGCAAAAAAAAGAACATTGCTACTTGTTTCTGTTAATCTGATTTATTAGGGGACTGGAGGCTAAAACATATAAGGAACGGTTGCTGGAATTGGGTATGGTCTAGTTTAACAAAGAGAAGGACGAGGGGGGGACATGATAGCAGTGTTCCAATATCTCAGGGGCTGCCACAAAGAAGAGGGAGTCAAGCTATTTTCCAAAGTGCCTGAAGGCGGGACAAGAAGCAACGGATGGAAGCTAACCAAGGAGAGAAGCAATCTACAACATCTTTTGCAGATATCCAAGTTATTTGCCGAATCTGCCTGCCTTGAAGGGGTTGACAGAAATACTGGGAAAAAAGGACAAAATCTGTTTGCATTTTATCCATCATCTATCACTGACATCCATTGTGTCAGTGATGCTTTCCACCAACATATCACTGACAGATCCATTTCAGAAATCCTCCACTGAGCTCTTTTTGTAGCATTCTCAGAAACTGAGAGAATACCAACAGAAAAATTGCAAGATCTTGCTTGCTCCACAAGGTGGGGAACCCTGAGCTTTTATTTGACAGGCAGAAGTAGAAAGAATATAATCACCTGGTATCTGGTTGAATATTCCCTTCTGAGTATTAGGGTCAGGAAGCTGGCAGGGATCCAGTTCTGCCCTTATGGCTTGGTCATCCTTCTAGAAATTCCCTTAGCTTGAAATGACACTTAGGGAATGATGGGAAGACTTCAATAGCAGAATACAGTTGTTTCTTATCCTTATTCTTTCTGCCTCCCATTCTATCCTATACACTAAGAGTTTGCTTAGAGTTGTACAATATGTTATTCAACCCTGTTATTGAGAGTTAAATGAAGCCTCTGTGGTTTAGCAGATCACACCTATCATTTGGAGTCCTTTGAAATGTGAGGTGGAGAAATAGGCAGGGGAATTGGCTGCATTCCAATCCAGCTTGTTTTAAACAGATTGCTAATTAGCAGACATTGGCCATTTCCAAGGCAACCAGCAATAATAGTCCATGTGTATCCCCAGAGCTTCAGTAAGGTGTGCAGGGCAATACAAAGGCTTACAGCAGACTTCCAGACATCAACAACTGGAAGCAATCTTGGTATCCCTTGAGCAATGTGTATGTAATTTAGAAAAATCACTCCTTTATATTAGCATAGGAACACCTATTAGGAGATAACTCCTTTGCGAAGCAAAATGGACAGATAATAACCTCATAATGCTGGGATTTCTTCTGAACATTTTCAAGATTGAAAAGAGTTTTATTTTAGAGATGTTTGCCATATTACAATGTCCTATTGATGATCAATTAATGGACAAATCTTTAAAAAAATCATTATTATGATGGACTCGCTTAAGAAGAATATCAACGAAGAACAAAACATTGAGAGCAAAATAAATTAGTATGGTAATATCTGCCATTGTTCTCCCTTTTAGGACATTTATCTGTTTGGAGGAACTTTTGAGTTCAAAGATGGCAAAATGATTTCAAAGAATGATATTATGAAATTAAGTTTAGGTGAGTAGGGGAGAGGAATAAATGGGAAAGGATGAATATTTTGTTTGAAATTTGTTTTGAGAAGTTGTTATTTTGAAATATATTTTTGAATAAAAATCTTCTAAACTTTAAGGTAATATCAAATGTTAATTTCCGCTCATCAGTTCTGAATGGTTATCCTTTATACTAAAATTTTCTCTCTGAGTGTTCTATATTTTGCTCACACTTTTTTAATGTAGCAAACATAAGTCAAAAAACAGTCTGCAAAATAAATATGATATTGTTCCCTTAAATTCAGGGGAATGTTATTTTGCTTTTGATGTTTCATGTTAAAAAATGTTAGCAACTACTCATTCTTCATTATTCAGCAAAACAATACACATGTATTATTGATTATTTTTGCTTCTAAATCATAGGCCCCCAAACTTTTGGGCACCAGAGACCAGTTCCATGGAAAGAGGTTTTTCCTCAGACTGCAGAGGACATGGTTTCGCGTACTGCCTGCATCCCACGGATGGGGCTCTACTTGTTTGTGTGGACCAGTCTCTGGCATGCCGTGGACCAGTGCTGGTCCACAGATTGGGGGTTGGGAACCCCTGTTCTAAATCAATTACCTATAGTAAAGACATAATAAAGACAGCAAGAAATATTTACAGACTGTATTGCCTTTGTCCAATTTGTAGTTTGGGATACCGTAATAGAAAGCTATTAATATCCTTTTGGAAATGTCCTAGGGAATAACTTTACAGCTTTAAATAAACTGTTTGGAAATTATGAAAATTAATATCAAATTTAAAATAGGTAATAAACTTTCAGGACTTATAGATGTGTGGTGGCATTTTCACCTAGCTGGTCAGCTAATTTATAATAGAATAACAGAATAACTTGAGTTGGAAGGGACCTTGGAGGTTTTGTAGTCCAACCCCTTGCTCAAGCACGTAACTCTGTACCAATTCAGACAAATGGTTATCCAATCTCTTCTTAAAATCTCCAATGTTGGAGCACCCATAATTTCTAGAGGCAACTCGTTCCACTGATTTATAAGAAAACAATGAAAGTGGGCAATGAAAGTATATTGAAGATAATTCCACAGAAAAGCAGAGCTGATGTTTTCAGCATTAACAAGGGAGCTAATGAGTAGATCAGCCCTTACTATCTTCTCTGGATAAACGAGAGTGAAGCAAGATCACCCAAATTGTTTCTTCTTGCAGCTGTTCCTTTTCCTCATGAAGAAACTGCAAGACAGCAGTTTTGGGATGGGGGAAGGGGAATTTGCCATAATTCCTCCAGTCACAAACTGAGCCTTTTAAAGTTCGTCTGCTTTCCTTGCTGTTTTTTGGAAATTGTCTGTTAACTGATGCAAAGAAGTTACAAACCTGCAAAGTGATATGGCTGGAAATATTACACAAATGCCTTCATTCCTCAGTATAACAATATTAACATTTATTTTTATAATCCATATTATATTTTAGTTAAGTTAAGAATTTTAGTTAAACAGCAGAAAGCAAGACAGGTTATTGGCTACAGAAAGTTTTAAAAACTCAGAAAACTTCAAAAGGTGTTTTCGATTTTGAATATTAAGACTCTGAATCTATTTTTATAGAATAAAAGTATGTTGTGAGAAAGAAAAATTGTTTTTGACATCGTTGAATTTCATATGTATTAACTTATCTTAAAATTCTAGAAGTCTGTTGATAACTAGATTGAAGAGGACATTACATATTTGATTTATATTTCTAAGAGATGGATTGTGGGATGAAGAATTATATATTTGTTAGCAAAGAGGAGATGAAGAGATGATGGAATTTTTTTATACTTATCATGAAAGGGGTTGGGAGTCACTTTCTTGTGGAGGGAAAGGGTGTTATATATTTTTCTTTTCTTTTTCTTTCTTTCTTTCTTGCATTTCTTCTCTTTTTTCCTTTTTTAGTTTGTGCCATCTTTTACTGTTCTGTTCAAAACCTTTAATAAAAATATTTTTTTTAAAAAAAGGAAACAATGAAAGCAGCACAATAAGGACTTAAAATAAAAGCAAAATGCCAATTGAGAAGGTCTGACTCCAATCTAGTCTGAATTGTGAGCATGGTTGATATAGACTAGACTAGAGGATGTTCACAAAATAAAGGGGGGAAAAATCATGTACAGGCAATGGGAATCATGAATCCATGGAATAAACCTTCACCAGGGATGTCCAACTTTGGCAACTTTAAGACTTATGGACTTTAACTCCCAGAATTCTCTAACCAATCATGCTGGTGAATTCTGGGAGTTGAAGTGCACAAGTCTTAAAGTTGTCAAGGCTGGACACCCCTGCCCTATACTGTGATAGCTGTGCACCTGGCAACCCATCTTCAAGCTCAATTAGGTTTGGATTAAATACATCAGAAAAACAACTTTAAGTAGAGTGCACAGTCATAGTTAGATGCCACTTAGTGATTCCTGTTCATAAGCTTAGATATAGCATTTTGAAAGAAATGTGACAACAGAAAGATAACATGCATTGATTTCAGATTCATTGTACTGATCTAGTGTGACAGAATCGAGGTCATTTACTTGCATTATCTGTTCTTGACTGTTTTTTATTTTCCTTCTTGTTTCATGTTAATCTCTCAGACTCCAATATTGTTGCAGTATATCTTTGATTTGAGATAGTGGGCTGCTTTTAGTAACTTTGAATTAATTAACAAGCTTCTATAAAACATACAAAACAATTTCTTTAAAAGGGTGTATTTTTTATTTGCCTTTGTTCTTGTAGTCAGTGGAATAATTAGATTAGTATTTTTAATATAGTTCTTTCAGAGCTTTTTTAAATTATTCTTTCGGTAATATATCTTGCTATTATATAAAAAGCCTTGCATATTCAGTCATTTTTCACATTTAGAATATTGACCATAACTATGTAATCTGCTGCAAAATCTTTTTTCAATCTTGCCAATGAAGTTGCATTATTATTATTAGCATTTAAAATATTTATGATATGTTATATAGCTCGGATGAAGTGGAAGAAGCCACTTTATATAGGGATCCCTCCAGCTTGCAGATGGAATCATGTTGCATTTATTCTCCATAATCAAGTAAGTAAAAATAATTTTAAAGTGAGAAGCTGCTATCCTTGATCTGTTTGAACTTTGTCCCAGTCCAATATCTCCCATAGTCTACTTTGATTTGTGCTTCCCATGCATTGTTGAATTTAAAATCCTTAGCATTCTTACACAAAATGGCTTTTAGGAAAAAAAAAAACTGGTTGGGAAAGTATTGTGTCTCCTTAGTTTAAAAGAGTACTAAGCATAATAGCAATAGCATTTAGGCTTATTTACTGCCCTGTATTGCTTTATAGCACTCTCTGGGCAGTTTAAAAATGTCAATATATTGCCCCCAACAATCTGGGTCCTCATTTTACTGATCTTGGAAGGATGGAAGGTTGAGTCAACCTTGACACACACACCTTCCTATTGGGATCAAACTCCAGGCTGTGAGCAGAGTTAGCCTGCAATACTGCATTCTAACCACTGGGCCACCAGGGCTCCTAAGCCAATAAATCACAACAAATATATTATTAAATATACTAATATGCACAGCAAATATATTAAGCTTATAAAGACAATAGGGGTGATTAGGACCTTTTCAACATGAACCCAAAGAGCACATCCCATGTCCTTCCTTAACTTTCTCCACTCCAGAAGGTCCTCCCCTGGTGAGATCCCCTAACAAAGACTTACTCTCCTAAATATCTTAATAGTTTAGCAGTTTTGATCTGTGTAATAAACACTTTTAACTGATTTTTATTCTTACTGTTGTTTAATGTTTACTAATTAGAAAAATTGTGACAACTTATTTTTAGATTACGTGTTGATATTGGATTTTGGACTTTTGTAAACCAAACTTAAGGGCAGTCTGGATATTTTGAAATATATAAACCAGTGCAGACCTGATCTATTCAGATTTTCTAGCATAAAGTCAATTTAGCAATTAAAAATAAAATATTTCACAGAGGCTCTTTAAGTGAACTTCTCAGTTTCCTTGTATCTTAGCATAAGAAAGGAAGTTTTAAATAAAGCCCCATTGTGTTCACTAAAATTTGTTGAAAATGAAAATATATAGGCCAAAATTTGCTTTGGAGCCCCCCCCCAAAAAATGGAACATTAGCTGCTCTCAGAATTCTCCAAAGTGAGACTGTAATCTCCACCAATGTCTGAATGTCTATTAGGTGACCATCTTGAATGGAACACCCAAACAAAAATATTTGACCAATGACTGCAAAATTGGCCTGCCCACATTCATTTCAGGCCATGGATCCTCCCTCCCTCCCTCCCATTTCTGATTTTAAAAGGTGGAAACTGCACAGTTTGCTGTGTAGCTATACAATCTCTAAGAAATGTATATTAGGAAAGGAATCTCCAAAATATTTTTTAAAAGGAAACGCTGTGATATAAATATTTCCCTAAATGTGATTTCTGTTCATTGTCTTTCAATGCATTTTAAATGAACTATTTAATTAGGATTCTGACATGTTTGCATTAATAGCTCTATATTTTCGGTGGAATTAATGGGAAAGAATTCAATGACCTCATGGGAATGAAATTGATAAATCCTTCAGAGAGACAACCTTGTAAGTTTATTTAAATGATAATAATTAATTGCATTTACTATTGTTTAGGACAGGAGTCTCCAAACTTGGCAACTTTAAGACTTGTGGACTTCAACTCCCAGAATTCCTCAGTCAGCAGTTGCCAAGTTTAAAGACCGCTGATTTAGAGCTCAAATTACTTATTCCAGAGTTCTGTAAATTATCTGTATTTATCTTTGTATTTTACTTCGGTTATTATTAAAAGTGAATTATTAGTTTAGCCTCTAAAATTCTCATCTAAGATACTCAAAACAATAGGTGTTCCCAAGGCTGCCATTGTCACACTCTTTTTGAAATCTATCAGATATCATATCTATAGAATTATTTATAAACTGATTTAAGAAATTAACTCCATATTTTTAAATGTATATTATAGTATTACTGCCATCCTTAAATAAAAATTGTTCTAGAAGTTAATTTTCCATGAGACAAGAATTTTAATTTATGTTTTAGTACCATCCAAATATGTCTCACTATCTTTAATGATAAAAATTCAACTAAAATCCAAGATCCTTGCCAGGATTTCAAGATTCTTACCATCATGATTTCTTTGATTTGCAAAGATACTTAAAAAATTATTTCCACTTCCACATTTGATATAATTTGAATATTGTGACTTGCATTTATATTTTATCTACACAGTTACACATAAGGATTAATTTCAAGATGTCACTATTATGTAGTAAAACGTATTTTATTACTTTTGTTACATGAATGATCTTACAAATCTTTGACTGAATTCTGCAAATATAACTCCTAAGCCAAATCTCTTTTTAAGATCCTCAATTCAAAAATACTATATAGCCTGAGCCTTGATCTCTATCCATTTTGAATCTCCTGTATCTTTGTATATCCAGCTATGTTATAGGATCAATTTAGTACTCACATGGTAATTTGTTCTAAAAGCATTGTTTCTGGTATCTTTAGTATCAGAGTGATAGAGGGACAGAAATTACTATTAATTGGGCAACTCTTTGCTTCTCTATAAATGAAGAATAATAAATTATCACAGAAAAGGGTCCTAAAAAATTTCTTTTGAAGTGTAATGAACACATAATTTTAGAACAGCACTTTGACCAGGAAAAGTGCTATAGAAATTATTAATAAATGGAGATGAGTTTTAAAATCTATTATATAATCTTTGATCATTTTAGTCAATGGGATTTTGTAAAATAGAAGTTCAAAAAGATACTCATTTTATTGTACTAAGAGTATTGGAAGATATTTCATACTAAATTAGGAAAAAGTGTGCACTGTGATGTTATACATAACTATACAAATAAGTTACACTCATTTGCATAAATGTAAATCCTCAAAATGTACTTTCTAAAAGACGACATTTCACTATATATAGAGTAGTGAATAAAATAATGCATAGGATAAAGAATACTTTTAATTTGACCTTTTCAAATCTAAGAATCTGTTCTAATTATAGATAAGTTGTTTAATGTTAAAAATACATGCTTTTTGCCCATATTCTGAGGCTATGCTTCTCATTTCACCTAAGGAATTCTCACCATTTTATCTGGTTTGTGGGTCTTGCTTGTAAAATTACATTAAACAATTTGCCCAATAAGCATCTTTTCTTAACAGCACCTACTTGTGACTGATTACATACAACTATAACCTGGTTTAAAATTTTAAATGTTTCTCCTCTCTAGCTATAGCTGAACCTTCTTCTCCCCTTTAGGCAAAGTCCTTTCCGAGAAAGGACAGTGTTGTCAAATATTCTTCTTAATTTTTATTTTTTTAAGTCCCATGTTTGTAGTTCTGAAGTCAATCATAAAACAATTTTAACATCTGGCTCACTTGCATTCTATACAACACATTTACCAGCCTGCAGTCTTGCTATTCTTTCTGCTTTGGTATTCCAGTATTTTCAAAACTTAATTAATGATGGCATCTTTGGTTATTATGGCCAAAGTGGAAATTCCCAGAGTCACTTTGTATAGTAAGATGGGCAGCATATAAATTTAATAAATAAATAAAATAAAAATAGTTTCACTCCATAGATAGACTTCCCAGCATTTTTTCTCTCCACATTTTTCTTCCAAGTAGAACGATCCAGCCCTTCAACAGAACATTTATGACATATACATCTTCATAATTTACTCCTAAGTACATTTGCTATAGTGATTTGATACAACAAGTAAAACAGAAGTTAAGTAACTATTCTTTCTTCCCCTTTCTTGCAGTCTTTCTCCGAAAAAAATAAAGTCTGAAATCTCTTTGTAAGGTTTCTTAATTACCTGCCCTACTTCTTCCTCCTCTCTTTCATTCATGTCTACTCAGAAATAGCTAGAAAATAGAGTGAAAGCCGAAAACACTTCTATTCTCTCTAAGTCCTACTGCCTGCAAAATTACTTCTAACCAGAGAGCAAAAAAAAAGGGAAGACGCATAACTAGAGTATAGCAGCAGAATAATGAATTTCTTGTTCTTTCTTTCCATTCATAGCCCAACAAAATCACGGTACTTTCCTCTAATAAAATATGGGGGAAATGGAAATAAAGCGAACATGAAGATTATATAAAACAAGTAATAATGATAGCTTCTTGAGTGAGAAGTAGAAACAGAGTCCAATTGCCTCTTGAAAAAGCACCTTTGGGACAGTATATGACAGACTTTAAAAAAAGAGAATAGGAGAAGATATCTTATGAAAAGGCAGAGATGAATAGCTTGTCTTCTTCTCATGCTTTAGAAAGGGACAAAATGGGTAATGTTTCTCAAATACTTTATCACAGGCCAGCGATCCAGACTAAATAAAACTTATTAAATAAACCAGCAGAAGAAAGCTACAAAATATATAAAATAAGGCACACAAGACAAAAATATACAATTGTGTGTACTATTTTGCTATCAGCAATGTGCAAATTTTACAAGCTACAAAAATAAACAGTGCCATGGCATGAGTTACCTTGAGGACGTTAGAACCTATTGAAAGAGCAAATGTATTGCTTCAAACAGATTCATTTTCCAAGTGAATAAAATCATATTTAAGCTGTTCAGTATGGCTTGTGTATGTATAGTATCCACTTTCCATAATCCTTATCGTATATCTTAAAAGTATCTAACAGACCTTATTAATGTCTGTTTTAACTAAATAATATTCATGAGCTAAAATTACATTTCTGATCTTTGTTTTTTCAATTCTAGTTATGAAAGAGATTTTTTCAGAACTGGGAATCCAAGGAATAAGCAGCAGGTATTTTTTTTTTTCTACTGACATCCTTTTTTTGCCTCCTACAATTTCTGGGAGAGAAAGGGGAGAAAAAGGAAAGCTTTTTTTTTTTTTTTTTAGCATCAGCTAACCAGTATTCATAAAATCTCTGCCGTCTGCTAACAATAAACACTTTTAGTTTATTCTTAGCAGGCTTCTTCCTTCCCACTGCTTTAGGACTTAATTCTCTGCACATTCATCTATTAGTAAGTGCCACTGAACTAGCACTGGTTACTTTCTAAGTGCATACAGCATATGTGAGCTAGTGCTGCATTTTTCCCTACCATGCTTCAAACAAGGTTATCTAAGACATTTCAGGCCAAAATGCTTTCCAATTCGAAAGATCCTCTTTTAATCTCAAAGCAGCCTATTTCCAGTTCAAACACAGCTGATTTTAGTCCAGAACAGCTGTTTCATATTTGCAATGGGGCTGCGGTGTAATAAGGTGTTTCAATTCAAAATGAATCTAAATGATTTATCCATCACGATTTTAAACATATTCCTACAACTATTTAATGATGTTGTAGTTATTCAGCCCATCCTTCAAAGCTAATGATAGTAATGGCAGCTTACTGAACAGCATACCTAAAATCAGAGGAAATTCCTGAAAATAATAATGAAGTGATTGGAGAAAGCTAATTTGTGTGCATGAACATTCCTGACAGTCGAAATCTACACTGAGCATGGATCAATGTGCAGATTTAATATGAAAGAAAGTTTATTTAAGGCAATACATGGAGAAGGACACAGCCTACCACCTACCTAGCTACATCTTAAAGTATTAGGCAGAGTTAGGAAGCAAAAGACTCTGTGTGTGTTGGAACAGCAGCAGAAGGAATAAAAACAGGGCACGCAGAGTAAAAGACAAGGGAAACCTGTGTGGTCAGTAGGCTGTGAAGAGCTGAAGAAGCAGTGTCACTGAACTCACATTTCAAAATAATAATACTAATACTATTGCTAATAATAATAGTGACAAAAAAAGTCTGGATAGTGGATGTGGCAGTGCCTGGAGACTGCAGAATAGAAGAGAAACAATTGAGGAGATAACAAAATACCAAATCTACAAATAGAAATAGAATGACTGTGGCAAAGGCAAGCAAGGGCAGTACCAAAAGTAATAGGCACCTTGGACTCAATCCCAAAACAACTGGAGTACCACTTGAACACTATTGGCATTGACAATTTCACCATCAGTCAATTGCAAAAGGCAGTTTTACTTAGAACAGCTTCCATCCTGGGACAATATCTGTAACACCATTAAATATCCAGATCTGCCTATCCCAGGTCCTTGTAAGGACTCAATAGGTAGACAAAATTGCCAAACCCAGTCTGAACATCTGGCTGACTGTATAATAATAATAATAATAATAATAATAATAATAATAATAATAATAATAATATATAATAAAATAAAATACCACACAACATCTACAGTATACAATTATTATAAAAATAAATTGGAAACATCCAGTGATGTCAAGATAGAAATCACAAGCTAACTATAATTTATAAACAAATCATTGCTGTAATACTACTATAATTTTGGTAGAATCAGACTGTTAAGCAATACATCTAATAAGGACTGTTATTACAAAATATAGTTCCAAATAACTGTGTTCCTGGAAATGGCTTTAGGAAATTTGACACCTAGTGTGATGTGAGTTATTATAATAAATATATGAAGCAAAGTTAATAACCAGGTTTACTTAAACTTAGTTCATAAGTGGAGTAGCTCAAAGGAAGCAGACTTACATGATGCATAGAAACCATAGAAATCATGTGAAATCATGAAATAACGAATTCATGCCTCTTAAAAATGGGAGCAAACTGATTGTGCTATAAAAATGTCTGGAAATTACAACCAGTGCAATATGCGTCAACTGTTCCTAAAGGGTGTAAATTTAGATTTCACATACTGTAATATGTATCCTAAAAGATCTGCACTGGTTGAAAATTAGGCATGGGGCATAGCTTAACAGTTAATCTATAAGGTTATTGTTAATGGACCTATCTTTACCAGCTAGCAAATTTAGAAAAAATGCATATTTCATCTCCAGACTACAGAAATTCACAATACATATTCCTATGAGAAAGAGATATTCTTCATCACCTATCCCAAGGTATACTGTATGCCTCTAGCTTCTCCTTCTGCTGGAGATAGATAAAGTTTGGTCCTTTTCAGACTAGGGACATAATTCAAGAAGTTAAGCTGTGGGCTGAAATTAGAAAAAAATAATTAAAAATTAAAAGGTTTTAGTATTCCTCAATGAAAGTGCCAGTGTGGTGGTGTAATTAAGGTGTTGGAATAAAAGTAGGGAGACCATGTTCTAGTCCACCTTTGGCACAGAAGTCAGCTTAGTGACTTTGGACCTAGTCTCTCTCATTCAACCCAGGACTGTAAAGTTGAAAGTCCAGTATGTTTGTGTGTGATGTATATTCTAAAAATATGGATTTCTTCTCAGTTCTTCAGCTAAATAACAGCCTCCATCCAATCCTTTATTCTGAAAAGCTAAGCAAGTTATATCTATTTAGTACTTAGATAGGAAACTACCAGAAAATTTGCAGACTACATTGGAGAATTCCCCCCCCCAAAAAAAAACTTCCGGAAAAACGCATTGCTCAAGCATTTCCAATTTGTTGCCAAGAAAATTACTTGCATCAGACATTGAGTGCAATTCAAAGGAGACTTTATCTATATACAGACAGCACATGTTCTATCGAACTATTCTTTTCAAGCAGTTATAAAATTATCTCCTGAATAACTACTATGACTCATGTAAGTTTAACTTAAATTGGCGTTTAATATGTTGTGCTTGACAAACAGTTTTACACACACCAAAATTCCTAAGATGAAATATGAATTGACAGAATATTCTTTGCTGCCTGCATCAGTTTCTCCACCACCTTCAGTTACAGTAAGTGACTTACTTCAGTTTTGCTAGCAAATGTTTTTTATTAGAACTATGTAGTTACTAGCAGAAGATTTTTTTAAAAAAAATAACCAAAGTTGTTCATCTGTTAGTCAAACTCTTACAGAGTGGCAGGATACGTTTTATGCTCCAGAGGTATGCCTTGGGTGTATCTGACTACTGTGAGCCCAGCAAAATATACACATCTATCCAGAATTTCTCTTTTATTAGTTTTCAAGGTTTTTTTCCTACAAGGTATTCCTTCTTGTTAAGGACTTTCTTTCCTTTGCACAGGTACATGCACAGGACCATAGGTTCTTATCTAATATTAGTTTTGGACTATTGATTCACCTAAATTGATATTGCTAACACTGCTTTGTGGGAATTTTTGCAAAATTGAGTAGCAAGTCTAATATTCTGGGCCCAGTGCTCTTCAACATCTTCATCAATGATTTGAACGAGGGGATAGATGGGGAAATCATCAAATTTGCAGATGACACCAAGCTGGCAAGAATAGCCAACACTCCAGAAGACAGTCTTAGGATACAGGAGGATCTGGACAGACTTGAACACTGGGCGCTATCTAACAAAATGAAATTCAATGGTGAAAAAAGTAAGGTTCTACATTTAGGCAAGAAAAACCAAATGTACAAGTATAGTATAGGGGGTACCTTGCTCAATAGTAGTAACTGTGAGAGGGATCTCAGAGTCCTAGTGGACAATCACTTAAATATGAGCCAGCAGTGTGCTGCAGCTGCCACAAAGGCCAACACAGTGCTGGGCTGAATTAACAGTGGGATAGAATCAAGATCACATGAAGTATTAATACCACTTTACAATGCCTTGGTAAGGCCACACTTGGAATACTGCATCCAGTTTTGGTCAGCACGATGTAAAAAAGAAGTTGAGACTCTAGAAAGAGTACAGAGAAGAGCAACAAAGATGATTAGGGGACTGGAGGCTAAAGCATATAAGGAAAGGCTGCTGGAATTGGGTATGTCTAGTTTAATGAAGAGAAGGACGAGGGGGCACATGATAGCAGTGTTCCAATATCTCAGGGGCTGCCACAAAGAAGAGGGAGTCAAGCTATTTTCCAAGGCGCCTGAAGGCAGGACAAGAAGCAATGGATGGAAACTAATCAAGGAGAGAAGCAACCTAGAACTAAGCAGAAACTTCCTGACAGTTAGAACAATTAACCAGTGGAACAACCTGCCTCCAGAAGTGGTGAATGCTCCAACACTGGAAGTTTTTAAGAAGAGACTGGACAGCCATTTGTCTGAGCAGGGGGTTGGACTAGATGACCTTCAAGGTCTCTTCCAACTTTACTACTACTACTACTACTACTACTACTACTACTACTACTACTATTATTATTATTATTATTATTATTATTATTATTATTATTATTATTATTATTATTATAGTTGAGATTTCCTGCCTGGAAATATACTTTAGCAATTCTCCCATGGTTACTCAATTACTCAATTCTGGGATATAGAAAGATAATTTAACTCAAGTGACAAGTTAATGATACCATGGTCATTTATGGCACTTTTGTCACTCAGATGGTTTGATTTCAGCTTTGGGGACAAAAAATGGGAAAGGTTATATTTCTTGTTTGTTAGTTTTCCAATTTCCTGGACTTATCTACACAGGGGAATATCTTGAATAACTGCAAGGGCAAATGCTATCAAAATGCCCTTTTGATTTATCTGTGCATCACCCTTCTATTTTGTGAAACGATAAGAAGGTGGAAACTGTTACATAGAAGGGAAAGGGGGCAGTCTGTGTGAGTATTTTAGCCGATCATTGCAATCTCTGCCTCACTCATGAGTCATATGATCCAAACTTGTCTTTTCCCGCTTTAGTTCAGTTTTTTTCCTGACTGCTTTTAAAACTTTGGAAAGATGGGCACTTGTGGTTACAAGTGCTGCAGAATTTAATGCAGGTTGAGGTTAATAACAATTCTAACAGGAATCATTGGGGAAAAGGCATGTTATTAGCTCCAATATATTCCTGATGAGATGGAAAAGGAGAAGAAAGAATTAGTAGCATAGACATATATCAGGGCTCTCCAAACTTGGCAACTTTAAGACCTGTGGATTTCAACTCCCATAGTTCCTTAGCCGCCATGCTGGCTGAGGAATTCTGGGAGCTGAAGTCCACAAGTTACTAAGTTTGGAGACTCCTGACATGGCAATCTGCCCTCACAGTGGAGGAAAGGGAATTTTCTGCCTGAAAGCATTTTTTGTGTCTTTCTCTAGGAAAAGAGACACTTCCAGTTCTAACCCTTATATTTTCCATAACTCTCAATCAATGCAAGCAGCAAAAAAGTTGATCATTTACTCATTTTGCTGGGGGCGAGGGGTTTTTTGAACTTTCCTAGGCTGAAAAAAAACAGGTCATCTGCCTAAAATCTCCTTGAACATCCAGATTACATTACTTATTGGTGTATTATACACCTTCTGTTCACCATTTAAACACAGTGAATAGAATATTATATTCACTACATTTGCTTACAGGGCAACATTTGAATTTCCAAGAAACCCATTACTAGAAATGGTAGCTCCTGCGCCACTCTTTTTTTCCTCTATAACTTTCCATAGATAAAGTAATATTACTTTATTCTAAATAATTAGTCATTAGTTTAGCACATTGACTATGTGCTCTGCAGCCAAAGATGGAGAAGCTCTATACAGTCAGTAAAAACAAGACCAGGAGCTGACTGTGGCTCAGATCATGAGCTTCTCGTTGCAAAATTTAGGCTTAAATTGAAAAGAGTAGGGAAAAACACTAGGCCACTCAGGTATGAACTAAATCATATTCCTGATGAATATATAGTAGAGGTGACAAATAGATTTAAGCAATTAGATCTGATAGACAGAGTGCCTGAAGAACTATGGATGGAAGTTCGCAACATTGTACAAGAGGTAGCAACTAAAACCATCCCAAAGAAAAAGAAATGCAAGAAAGCAAAATGGCTGTCTGAGGAAGCTTTGCAAATAGCTGAGGAAAGAAGGGAAGCAAAAGGCAAAGGAGAAAGAGAAAGATACACCCAATTGAATGCAGAATTCCAGAGAATAGCTAGAAGAGATAAGAATGCCTTCTTAAATGAACAGTGTAAAGAAATAGAAGAAAACAACAGAATAGGGAGGACCAGAGATCTCTTCAAGAAAATTGGAGATATGAAGGGAACGTTTCATGCAAAGATGGGCATGATAAAGGACCAAAATGGCAGGACCTAACAGAGGCAGAAGAGATTAAGAAGAGATGGCAAAACTACACAGAAGAACTATACAAGAATGAGCTTAACGTCCCAGATAACCACAATGAGATGGTCACTGACCTCGAACCAGACATCCTAGAATGTGAAGTGAAATGGGCCTTAGAAAATCTGAGCAACAACAAAGCTAGTGGAGGTGACAGTATTCCAGCTGAGCTATTCAAAATCTTAAAAGACGATGCAGTAAAAGTGCTACACTCAATTTGCCAGCAAATTTGGAAAACTCAACAGTGGCCACAGGATTGGAAAAGGTCAGTTTACATTCCAATTCCAAAGAAAGGCAATGCCAAAGAATGTTCAAACTATCGCACCATTGCACTCATTTCACATGCTAGTAAAGTTATGCTTAAAATCCTACAAGCTAGACTCCAGCAGTATGTGGATCGAGAACTACCAGAAGTACAGGCAGGATTTCGAAGAGGAAGAGGAACTAGAGATCAAATTGCCAACATATGCTGGATCATGGAGAAAGCTAGGGAGTTCCAGAAAAACATCTACTTCTGCTTCATTGACTATGCTAAAGCCTTTGATTGTGTGGATCACAACAAATTGTGGCAAGTTCTTAAAGAGATGGGAATACCAGACCATCTTATTTGTCTCTTGAGAAACCTATATGCGGGTCAAGAAGCAACAGTGAGAACTGGACAAGGAACCACTGATTGGTTCAAAATTGGAAAAGGAGCCCGGCAAGGCTGTATACTGTCGCCCTGCCTATTTAACTTATATGCAGAGCACATCATGAGAAAGGCAGGGCTAGATGAAACAAAAGTTGGAATTAAGATTGCCGGGAGAAATATCAACAATCTAAGATATGCAGATGATACCACGCTAATGGCAGAAAGTGAAGAGGAACTAAAGAGCCTCTTGATGCGGGTGAAGAAGGAGAGTGCAAAAGTTGGCTTGAAACTCAACATTAAGAAAACCAAAATCATGGCATCCGGCCCTCTCAATTCCTGGCAAATAGATGGGGAAGAAATGGAGGTAGTGACAGATTTTATTTTTCTGGGCTCCAAGATCACCTCAGATGGGGACTGCAGCCAAGAAATTAAAAGACGCTTGCTCCTGGGGAGGAAAGCTATGGCAAATCTAGACAGCATACTAAAAAGCAGAGACATCACCCTGCCAACAAAAGTGCGTATAGTCCAGGCCATGGTTTTCCGAGTTGCAATGTATGGCTGTGAAAGTTGGACCATAAGAAAGGCTGAGCGCCAAAGAATTGAGGCCTTTGAACTATGGTGCTGGAGAAGACTCCTGCGAGTCCCTTGGACTGCAAGGCGTTCAAACCGGTCAGTCCTAGAAGAGATCAACCCCGACTGCTCTTTAGAAGGCCAGATCCTGAAGTTGAAACTCAAATACTTTGGCCACCTAATGAGAAGGAAGGACTCACTGGAGAAGGGCCTAATGCTGGGAAAGATTGAGGGCAATAGAAGAACGGGACGACAGAGAATGAGATGGCTGGATGGAGTCACTGAAGCAGTAGGTGTGAACTTAAATGGACCCCAGAAGATGGTAGAGGACAGGAAGACCTGGAGGAATGTTGTCCATGGGGTTGCGATGGGTCGGACACGACTTCACAATTAACAACAACAACAACAACAGTTTAGATGAAAAGGAACATGCACATTTTTTAAAACACGTAAACAAATCCAAGAATTGTATACTATAAAGGGACTTTTATCAGATTGTGCTGATTTTTCTTGTGTACATCTTATAAAAGAGGTCCACACACTGGTTGAGTGGGATGAATGTTGCTATGTGCCTAACCAGAGATAATCATCATTGTGAAGGTTAATAAACAAATATAATGTTAAATAATTGTTAACTATTGTGAATTCTTTTGAATGCAGCTGCACTTGAACTGTTAGTGCAAGATCTGTTTTATGTATTTCTTTCTGCCTATCTAGCATTTGACCTACATACATAGTCTCCCAAGAAGCTACCTAAAATATTGCAAGTCATTTCAGAATAAAATGTTGGCAGGAGGGACCCATTATATGTTCTTTAAATCATTCACTGATAAAGATTTCCCAGATTACCTCAGCATCATCTTTACTTAGCAGATTAATTACTCTGTAGTTAGCTATTAAACTAGCAATTAAATATTTGTCTTCATGATATACTCCTTGGCAAATGAATTAATTAGCACTGAATGTTGAGAAATGGCTGCTAAAATAGCAGGCATTGTGTTGTAACAGAATAGAGTAATTACATTTCATTATGACTATTATTAATTTTATTAACTGAATAAATGTCAAGTATTTCCTCAACTCCTACTCCAAGCTGTATTTGAGAGTCAGATACCAAAGTAAGATGCACTCACTGTCTCAGTACAATTGCTCAATTATCTGGTCTGGAGTTAATCACAGAACAAGGTGATGGAACACTCAACTTCAGAGCTTTAATTCCAGACTGAATTGTAACAGTTATCCTCATCCTCATCACCCTACCTTTACCACCATCACCAGGCCAAGTAGTAAAAAATGCTATGAAAAAAGCTTGGCTAATTTTTAAAAGATACTATCAGCTATGGATCTGTTAATTAATTATTATCAACCTTTTATCTCTGATGGAAGTTGAAGCACTGTTAATTAATACTTTTCCATATAGAGAGAAGAGCTCCAGGATTTCCATTCTATATTTAGCCAAGCAATGAAAATGATTACAAAGGCTTTTTAATTATTGGAGTCTGAATTTCAAAAACTTCACATGTAAGTATTTTTTATTCTACAGTTTATTCAACAGAGTAGAATCATTTCCTCAAATATCAGAAAGTTAGATTTATCTTGCAAAAAACCATAAGTGTACCATATTTTTCCGTATATAAGATGCTATTTTTTCCTGCAAACACCCCGTTCAAAAATCAGGTGCGTCTTATACAAGTGCAGTGTCTTATACATGGAAAAATAATGGTAACCTCCGCAGCCCAGGGCATGCCTGTGTGGCTTTTTTGGACTGAAGCCCCATATATATAATATCATTACTTATTTACTATAAAAAAAAAGATGAACTGAACTCATGGGGTGGAGGCAGTGTCAAAATGTTCTTTCTTGAAAACAGCAGAGAAACAGTTTATCATCATCTTCTCCAGGATATATTTCCCAGTTGAGACCAGATTTTGAAATTATTTTCTATTCTATTCTAATATTCCTGATCAATACCTTTTTTAGTTATCTATAAGCTGTATTCTGGTATTCTTGCTGGAGAAGATTCCCCCCCCCAACAAAATAACTTTAAAATATGAGACATGTATGTATTTATGTGAGTTTAATCACATAAAACCATAGCAATATAATACGTTTTCATGGTACTTCTTTCAATTATGGCATGTGTGTGAATGGATGTATAGAGCTGTTTCTATATATCTGTTTTGTACATTTTGTTTTGTTTGCGTTTGTTTGCTTGCTTGTTTTTAATGAAGCTCAATTCTTATTTTCATGGATGTATCATTGCAGGATAAAAGCTGAACTGGCTCAGGCAACTAAGGCTTTTCAGCATGAAAAAGATCAATATGACAAAAACCTGAAAAACCAGCAGCAGGTAGGGCTTTGGTTATTTCTGTTAGTACTAGTGTTGCAAATTGGGAGTACCTTTATTACCAGTTCTGTCAAGACCTTAAATAAGCTAATGCCTTCTGGGAGACCCAAAATAAAATTATACTTAATAACTAATGAGTGCAATTGATGAAATATTTTTGAAGTTAATAGCATTCAAGGCAAACAAATAAAAACTTGACATTTAATAGTTAACATTAGCAGTCATACAGAACTCCAAAGCAATTAATAATCCATGGGGAAGTTGATACATTCACTTCAGTGAGAATTAAGACCTGCAGTGATCTCGAAGAAAAGTATGAATCACTTATGTGAACCATGCAGAGTATTCAGTTATTATCAGGTAAATAAAAAGGAAAAGATGCAAAAACTTCTTGCCACAGGAAAGGGTGGGAAAAAAAGTTTAAGGCTTCTTGTTACAGCAGAGAGCAAGAAGTTTACAACATGCAACGTTCATAAAAACCTACAGACTTAATGAGTTAGCACCTTTTGCACAGATATAACTTCTCTTGGGAAGTAAGAATAAAGTAGAAAGAAGGGGAAAGGGAAGAATGAGGATTACTCAACCAAAGTTTTCCTAGGTGTACTGAAAGCTGATGTGGTAAGGAAAGAGGTATTGAATGTCATGCTCCCCTGGAGGGAAAGGGAAATTTGAGTCTATGGATACATCTTCCCATTGCCTCTATCTCATTATGAGTCACTGAATTCCTAATTCTTTACATTCAAGCACTTCTGGTTATGAGGGAGAATGAGAAGGGAGACTTTAAAGGCTGAAAGAGAGCAAAAACCAAAAGAACTGTGATGGTAAATATTGGAAAGATAGAAAAAAGTTATATTTAAAATTATTTTAATATGACATTAAAGTTACAAAATACATATTAATAAAGGAAAGTATAAACTTTAAAAGGTCATATTATAGCACATGCGAGGAATAGAATTCGGTGTCTGGGCTGGTGAATGGCCACTGCCAGACAACATTGATCTTTATGTGTCAAAGAATTCACTAGACATTCAAACATTTTTTTTTCTGTATCTGCCATTGTTTTGCTACACTCCAATAATCAGTGGTGCAAATGGGGGGGGGGGGAATAAGAGGATGTTTTTTATCAGTTTTGTGTCACAGTTGCTTGGATAAATTCTTCTTGGGTCCTTTTTAAAATCTTGGGCATCCTATCTTTGACTAGAGTAAAAAAAACTGAGACAAAGTAATAGTGCCAGTTAGGGAGGGGAAAGCGCAACCAAATACATTTGATTAGCGCTACTTACAGCTGCATTTCTTTAGATAGCCTTCACTTGTTATAATTGCTAGTAAAGCTTGGGAACTAATGTGAATTTGATGGTATATTTATGTAGTTGGTAGATGGTAGTAAATATTCTTAATTTTCTAATAAAGATTTTTTTCCCTTTAACTCAGGAGCTACAAGTGATGCTAGAAAAACATAAAGTCCAAAATGAAGCATGGCTCAAAGCCAGAGCTGAGGAGACTGACAAGGAAAGGAAAGAACTCTTCAAACTCAGAGTAAATATTTACAAAACTCAAGAGAAGGGTAGAAATTGGCAAGTTTCCCAACATTTCCTTATCCTCTTTCCCCTAAGTTGCTTTTGATGTTCGACATAAAACAACTCCCTGGAACAAAATTTCAACTCTGTAAGATAAATATAGCAGTACCCATGTTTCAAAACTAAAACTAATATGATAAAGCTATTGCATTTGCTGGAGCTTGGGAAAGTTGTGTTTCCAGAAATAATATTTTTTTTCCTGTTCAATGACTTCAAACAAGATTCTTAGTAGCTTCTAGATTAAACAATTTTGGCCTAATTGCAATAGTATCCCTGAAGGATCTATTAAGATCACACTCAGAAAGTCTCTGTACTTATGCAAGTTGCAGTGTGCACCCCTACATTAAAAAGAGCTTTGTTTTAATCTAAACCACAAATTTTGGTGAGAATGGGGCAAGAGAGAGCAAGATTAATACTATTTTCTAAGTAATGTATTCAAAAATAATATTTATATCATTTTTATGATTTCACTATTGTTAAGCAGTATTGCAATCTGGCCAGACAAATCCAGTTGTTGGACAGCTAAAATATTTACATATCTGAATATTTCCCTATGGCAGTGATGGTGAACCTTTTACAGACTGAGTGCCCAAACTGCAACCCAAAACCCACTTATGCATCGTTGAGTGCCGGGTGGGTGTGGCCCATTGGGTGGGTGTGGCCAATTGGGTGGGCATGACCAATTGGGTGGGCGTGGCTGCAGTGGTAACAGCAGACTGGGTGGGACTAAAAAGTTCAATCAATCAATTCCAATTTTGCAAGATTTTTTTTTTCCCGCGAGAAGTTGAAATTGACTGATTTAAGCTTTTTTTTTTTTTTTTGCACACGGTGGCGGAGGCCTAAAGCGAAAAGATTTTATAAAACCCAGCTTGAAGGCCTAGGACTGGGACGATGGCACGCGGGCCCACAGAGACGGCTCTGGGTGCCGCCTCTGGCAGCTGTGCCATAGGTTCACCACCAGTGCCCTATGGGAATATTAAATTGTGCATTTCTTCCATTCATGTATTGAGTTGGGCTGGGGAATTTGGTATTTTGGATACAAACTGCAGCACTTGGTAGAGTGGAGCAAAATATTCTAGTCTTTTTTAATTATATAGCTTTAAAGTAGTTTTCCCCAGTTTGGATCGAGGGATAGACATAAGGTCGGCAGGGAAAACAGATCTTAAAGCTAAATCATGCCGTATGGAAAGCTGTCAGGTAAGTTTTGAAGGTACATCTCAGTCCTAGTTTATATGTGAAAGGTTTTAAAACAGTGTTTCTCAACCTTGACAATTTTAAGGCATGTGGACTTCAACTCCCAGAATTCCACAGCCAGCACACTGTTTTAAAAGTTACCATACATCCAGTATGACTCTAAGTCTGTTTTCCATTTTTACTGCTCCAATACCTAAATACATTATCAGTTAAACATCAAACAATATAAGTGTATCACAAACAATTATTACATTTTAAAATAAAGATGAGCTACCCACAGCCTTAAACCATAATATAACGTAATATAACTCTCAAACCTCATTTTTCCTCTCACCAGAACCCCCTCTAGCTACACCGCCATATTTCAATTCCATATAAATCAGCAGCAAAGTTTTCTGCCACTTTGAAGTGTAAGCTCTGAAATAGCCTTAGTGCTTTCCTTCTTTAAAACCACAACAATGCTTCAAACAAATGGAATCCTAGGGTCATCCATATATGTGTGGGTGCATACTTTGTGTCATCAACCCATCCACTGCTTTTGCTCTGCTTCTCTTCTTCCCCAAAACATGTGCCCTTTTTTTAAATACCCTCTACCTTTCCCAGAGTTATGTTGTCTTGTTTTGATGTGGACTACATATTATTTATTAAAAACAACAGATAATGTGTTGTACTTTTTTATCATGTAGCTACTGAGCATCTCAGAAAAATATAGCTCCCATGGTGCTAACATATAAAAGGACTCAAATGATCAGAATAGACCTTGTGAGTGTCACCCCCTCCTGCTTTTCCTCTTCCCATTCCAGTCGTTTTATTGTTGACATCGTTTCAAAACAAAGGAAGATTATTAATGTCTACATTAATCGTTTTCCTAGTATTGGAGTGCATTCTTATGTTAGTAAAGTTAGCTAATTAATCTGGAACACTGCAACTGAGATAGTTTTTCATAAAGATTTTAATCACATTGAGTTAAACACACACTCGTGTAACTGGTGATTTATGTTTTTCAACTAACTATTGTCAAGATCATCAAACATAAATCAGCTTTGAAAGAGACAAGACTGGAGGTCAACTTAGTGCAAGATCCTTGTTTTTTGTTTTTTTCCCCCATGTTAGGAAATGATGCAAAAAAAATGCAATGATGATTCTCATATCAGTAGATCTAATTAAACAGCATTACATTGTTCTCAGAGCATAATTTGCTATAGCTTCAGTTTTTAATACTTATATGTTTGTGCACATACATTTTTTTCTGTGAAATATTTCAAGTCAACAACTGGTTTTCATTGTAGCAATAAACAGCATTTATTTCTCTACAATAATCACCATTTTAGTCACTGATTTTTAGTTCTAAAAATTCCCGTGGTGAGCATTCACTTCTGGAAAAATAATATACAAAGCAAATAAAACCTTTTGTGCCACCCACTGCCTAAACTAGCTAAATGAAACAATAGATGGAGCAAAGCATTTTGTTAGGCTAGTGCTGTACATGTGCATACTACACTGGTCAACTTAAATCTGTGGTGAATATTAAACCAATTCCATACTTTAACATTACAGAAAAATCTGTTATAGTTTTCTCTTTGTTGTTATAAATCCTTTGGTCTAGTGGTTAAGGCATCAAGCTAGAAACCACAAGAATATATTTCTAGTCCCACTTTAGGCATAAAAAGGACTGAGTGACTTTGGATCAGTCACTCTCTCTCAGTCCAACCCAAGAGTTCCAGTGGTTCAGTGACTTAATGACGCTGGAGATGGTTTCTGCTGCTGTGGTTCAAGTCCTAGAACTGCGTGTTGGGGTGAGCTCCTGTCACTTGCCTCAGCCTCTGCCCATCTAATATTTTGAAAGCATGTTCTGTGCGAGTAGATAAAATAGATACCATTTGGTGGGGGAACAATCTGATCTATTTCATATTATGTGTTTTGGTTGCTTGCTATTTTTTTTCCTTCACGCATGATACAAATTAAGCCATTGTGGTTAGTAAAGTAGACTTTATGGCTAAACGTAGGAAAGTGACAATTTTTTTAGTATCCAGAGTCTACACTACATCTGGTAGTGGAAGGTGAAGGTCACAATGGATGGAACAGTGATGCAAATGAAGAAACTATGGTAAACACGTGGGCATATGTGAATTTTTTTTCCATAATTTCTAGGAGGGAAGGAACTTGAGGGTACTTAAATTACTATGCATATTTTAGAGCATCCAAACTATAGTTTTCATGCATGCGTTTTTCAACCAATACAAAATAAAGACAATAGTCCAAAGAGGGTCACATAAAAGGAGTTTGGAAGTTGCCCATCACCGTGTGTCATCTTAAACAAATAAATGATAGTTTATCCAACAAATCATGATTAAATGTCATGGCTTAACACAATGCAGTATTTTTTTTTCCTGAAGAAAAACTTCACATGATTTTATTTCCCCTTGGACGAGGTGATTAGAGACTTTAAAACATGTATTTTACTTACGCAAAACAATAATTTGCTCAAGAAGATTATAACACCTGCTCAGATTCTGGAACCAAAAAACTTTATGGAAAGGTTTTGGAAGAGACATAGGGTTATTTTTATGCTTTGCAGTTATTCCTGTGATTCAGAATTTTAATCTAAGTATGTCTTCTGATTTTTCTCCCACAGGAAGCAATTCTTCAAGATCAGGAAAGGCTGAGAGATGAACAGCAAAGTGTTCAGCAGTGCAATCAGCAGCTCATTTCTGTAATGCAACAACTCAAAGGAATGTGAACCGTTGCTGAATAAAAAAAAAAAACCTGATCACACAACACAGCGTTGCTCAAACAGATGAGCTGTTATGTATAGTAGGACAAAGATCCTGCTACACTACCAATTAAATCTCGATCTTGCTGAGGTTCATTCAACCCTAGGATGCTGGTTTCATTAAATTCCCAATTGCTTTAAAATACATCATAAATTTTTGATGTGCTGGTTTTTAAAAAAAAAAACAGATATGTAGACAAGAGTGCCTGAGGTGTTAAATAATGAGTAGGATAAATATATTGAAATGTCACTTTGCATTTTGTAAAAGTTTGGATCATGTGTTCCTGTTCACAAGGTGAGAGGCACGTGCAGCACACTTAAAAGGGGAAGGAACTTCAGTAGTTCAACCATACTTCCAGTTTTTCTCCCCTGCTGATACTCCTAGTTTTTCTTTTAAGATGTGTCTAAAGAATATGCTATCATTTCTGATTATCAGAATAATGGTAACCAATATTTTGGCTTTGGATAAAAAATGGATATTAGGGTTCAGTTCTTAAAAGTATATAACAACCCTCTTCCCCTCCCCCATATATGGTTATTCAGAGGTCAATCCCATTGAGATATCTGTAATGCTGCAGTAAAATCAGACATTAAAATCAAATCTCAACTTTGTACATTTCTATGGTAATATGCACTAGCCATTTCTGTATCGGCAAATCAATCTAAGCGGTAAAACCCAAAATCATAATATCTTTTTTTTTTCCCCTCAAGCACAAAGTCCAGAAGTGGTTTCCAAGTAGAACCATTCTAAACAGTGTAAAAGATGAATCTATAGATGGAGGGGAGATAAGGTTGGGGGGGGTATTTCAAATTTGATCTCCATTTTAGTACATGAATGATTCACCTGTCTACAGCACCTTAAAGGATGCAGTTTTGGCACTGCACAACCTCAATATGGTGTTCAAATTGCTAAGGGGGTGGAATAGATACTTATCTCTTTTGAAATAAATGTCTTTCTTCCCCTTTCAAGAATTAAAACATAAACATCCCCCAAAAGTAATAGTAGTAGTAGTAGTAGTAGTAGTAGTAGTAGTAGTAGTACTATCTTCTTCTTCTTCGCAAGTCACTCATATTTGTAATGACTGCAGTGTCCTGGGATCATGTGACCATTTTATGCGACCTGACAAACAAAGTCAATGGGGAAACTCAATTCAGTTAACAACGATGTTACTAATTTAACAACCGCAGTGATTCATTTAACAATAGTGGCAAGAAAGGTCATAAAATGGGGCAAAATTCATTTAACTGTCTTACTTAGCAATAGCAATTTTGGGGTCAATTGTGGCCATAAATCAAGGACTATCTTATTGATACCTTTCTTTAAAAATAAAGTTTACGTAGGGTCTGAAGCGCCCCCAAAACCTAAGTTGGCAAAAGCTGTGTCGGAATCTGGGGCTCATCTTCATTTATTTCTAAACTTCCCCCATATTTCCAAGTGCTGTTAATTTATGACATTAAGTTATTATATTTCTGAGTGGCTAGCCAGCTCTATATTTCTATTTTTATGCTGCAAGGGATAAATTAGGAGATAACTCTTTTAGCTCATTCAGAACCTAACAGGGCTATTTGATCTGAGCGTAGAGCAGTGTTTCTCAACTTTGGCAACTTGAAGACATCTGGACTTCAACTCCCAGTAGAGCTGGCTGGGGAATTCTGGGAGTTGAAGTCCAGATGTCTTCATGTTGCCAAAGTTGAGAAACACTGGCATAGAGTATTGTGCAGTTTGTTGCATAGTCATGTTTGAGAGATTTCCTCCAAGAGTTTCATATGCTTTCAATCATTCAGCAGGAACTACATATCTATAGTATAATTGTCCATAGTAATATAAATTATATTGCAGCATTGAACACATATTCTGTCTCAAATGATAATTGGTCACTGGCAGCATAATTAAACTGTAGATTTAACAGCAAAGGAACTCAGCATACATTCAGTATGTTGATAAGACAAACACACTCTGGTACAACACCATTGAAGTGGCAGGTAGCAAGAAGTCAGTGTGTTGATTCACCACTTATACTATATGTGCTAATTGGCTTTTGCATTGACCCAACTGGCCTATAACTCCGATATAAAGCAACAACTATTCTTTAAAAACAAGCAAACAAATGCAATACACAGTGGCCCAATTGAAATTGGATCCATGTGGGCAAAGCAGAGCTGGGGGAGAAAGTTTCCCAATTCTCCAATGTATCTCCTACCTACATACTAAAAATATAGAAAAAGATATTGAAGTAGCAGAGACACTGTTACTGCGCTGGACCCATTTGTTGATTACTCCTTGCTATCTCTAAATTCACAAATCAGGAATTAATCTCAGTGTGTGTGTGTGTGTGTGTGTGTGTGTGTGTTTATATACATTCTTGATTCAAATTATATCTAGGGCTGCCATTTCCAGTTTGGATCAACACAGTTGCTTTTAACCATAATTTAACTCATACTAGGCCCAATCCAAGCATGGCTTGATATAAAGTGCCAATGTGGTCATTGGTTTAACAAATGCTGTAAATAAATGGTTTTATTGTGCTTTGGAGTAGGATATACTATAACTTTAGCCAGTTGAGGTTATTCAATAAACAATAGTTAAGAAAACCATGATTTAGCAGTTCTGAACTTCTAATGCCCTCTACCTGGGTACCTTTGAAAAGCATTCAGAAGCTACAGCTGGCACAGAGTGGTGGCATGAGCAATTCTTAGGGCCCCTAGAGTCAGTGGTGGGATTCAGCCAGTTCGTACCAGTTTGACTAATTTTTTGTTGCCCAGGCCCAGAATGGACTTCCGGAAGCAGCATCCACACAGGAAACCAGTTGTTCACATATTTGAATCCCACCACTGCCTAGAGTGGCCCATGTTACACTACTGCTTCACAAGCTGTACTGTTTGCCAGCTTGCTTCCACGTGCAATTCAAGATATTAGTTATCACCTTTAAAGTCCTGCATGGAATGGGTCCAGGCTACTTGAGGAATTGTCTCATCCTGATGGGACCCGCCTGCCTCACCAGTGCTGGCAGAGGGGGCATACTATGGATCTTGTCAGACAAGGAATTTCAACTAGCAGACTCCAGGATAAGAGCCTTCTCTGCCCTGGTTCCTACCTTCTGGAACATTTTATACGCTGAGGTGAGATTGATTCCCACCCTCCTGGCATTTTGAAAGAGCCTTAAGACCTGGCTCTCCCAGATGGCTTGGGGACACAATGGGGAAACTTCTTGACTAAAATGTAATTCCCCCTTCCCCTCCCTATGTGTCTGGCTCCCTCCTTTTGTCATCTGGCATTAAGGATTTCATTTGTTTGTTCATAATTTTATCCATTCTGTTTCTATGATTGATTTTAATTTTTTTTTATTTTAATGTTTTTATGTAAGCTTCCCAGAATCATTGGATATGAGATGGGCAGCAAGTAAAATACATACATACATACATTAAAAAATTCAATTATACTTGGTTTCTTGAAACCAACATAATTGTTGCTTGTTAAGTCTTCAGTGAAAACTAAGATCCTTGGCTGGTTCCTTTCCTAACAAAGCCATTATATTCCATTTCTCAGTGGCATGATTCTTCTACAGCAGGGGTCCCCAACCTGTGCGCCAAGGCCCACTACCGATCTGTGGCCTATTTGCAACAGGGCCATGTGAGTGGCTGGCTGATGCGCGTACACAGCCCCACGTGCACAAGGGTCATGGGTGCTTGTGGCCCCATTTGTGTGAGGGTCACAGGTGCTCGCAGCCTTAGTCTCATGAGAATCACAGGTGCATGAGGTCTCGCATGAGCATTGCGAGCACTTGGGCCCTCACACAAGCATTGTGAGCATTTGCAGCCCCACTCGTGCGAACATCAGGTGCTTGTGTGTTCACATGCATGAGTGCACACATCTGCCCCTCACACAAAAACCATTTCCTTTCCCCCCTCCCCCTCCCAGGCCACCAACCTGGAAAAGTTGGGGAACTCTGTTCTATCCCATTTAATAGATTATATTATTTTTTCCCTCATTAGTGTATCCTATCATTTATGATATCTAAGAAGCATCTCCTTTACAATAGTAATTTCTTATCTATACATTGCTTTGAAAATACAAGCACAAATATATTGTTTTAATTTTCCACCAGAATTGAATCCATACCCCTGGATGCATGCTACAGGTATAATCACCCTTGCAGATTTAAATCAAGAAGAGTCTGGTAGCACCTTTTCAGACTGACACATTTTATTAAAAGAATAATCCTTTCTGAGCTACACCTCTTGTCATCAGATGCCTGCAGACTTTTAACCTTGTAAATTTCTCAGATGCCACTACCAGTCTGGCTGAGTGTTGCTTTTGAGATGATTCAGTTGTTTGGCCACAATCCTACTAGAGCATTAATGTGGGTGAGATAACATTGTTTAAAGAAGTTTAAGTCTACCACACCCCACTTGCTGAAAATTATTATGTGAAGCAGCTGCTAGCAGAAAAGAGAAGCTTGGAATCAGGGTGGGATGTGAACAATAACTTAAGATAGGGTTCCTAGTGAAGAGGAAGCATAGGAAATAGCAGTTAATTTTCCTCCTTTATTGCAGGATATAAAAGCATGTTTAGTGTCATGGTCACCTTGCAGGTCTTCTAGTCCAACTCCCTGCTCAAGCAAGAAACCCTGCATCATTCAGACAACTAGTTGTCCAATCTCTTCTTAAAAATCTCCAGTGTTGGAGCACCCACGACTTCTGGAGGCAAGTTGTTCCACTGATTAATTGTTCTAATTGTCAGGAAATTTCTCCTTAATTCTAAGTTGATTCTCTCCTTGATTAGTTTCCATCCATTCCTTCTTGTCTTCTCAGATGTTTTGGAGAACAGGTTGATCCTCTCTTCTTTGTGGCAGCCCCTTAGATATTGGAACACTGCCCTCATGTCATCCCTAGTCTTTCTTTTAATTAAACTAATCATACACAATTCCTGCAACTGTTCTTCATATGTTTTAGCTTTCAGTCCCCTAATCATCATTGTTGCTCTTCTCTGCACTCTTTCTAGAGTCTCAACATCTTTTTTATATTGTAGCAACCAAAACTGGATGCAATATTCCAAGTTTATTCTTACCAAGGCATTGTAAAGTGGTATTAACACTTCACGTGATCTTGATTATATCCCTCTATTAATACAGCCTAGGACTGTGTTGGCTTTTTTTGGTACATGCAGCATATTGCTGGCTCATATTTAAGTGATTGTCCACTAGGACTCCAAGATCCCTCTCGCAGTTACTACTGTTGAGCCAGGTACTACCTATTCTATGCATCTGCATTTGGTTTTCCTTGCCTAAATGTAAAACCTTACTTTTCTCACCATTGAATTTCATTTTGTTAGATAGGGCCCAGTGTTCAAGTCTGTCAAGATCCTTCTGGATCTTGAGCCTATCTTCTGGGGTAATGGCTATTCATGCCAGCTTGGTGTCATCTGTAACTTTGATGAGTTCCCCTTTTATCCCATCATTATAATAAAGCTTTACACACTTTTAATTCTTGCATAGCTGTTTTTCATTCTGTTTCAGCAGTCTTTCTTTAAATAATATCCAAGCAAGTCTACTCATTATTTTTTTTACAACAAAAGTAACATTTCTTGTATTTTTCTGGGTCTTTGAA